AGCTGATTGGCCCGGCGCCTGCCCTCTGCCATAGCTGATTGGCCCGGCGCCTGCCCTCTGCCACAGCTGATTGGCCCGGTGCCTGACCACCCAGCCCTGCTGAGGTGATTGGTCCAAATGCTGCCTTGCCCATCCCGAACCACCTGAGTTTATTGGTCCACAGATGGACACGTGGCCCAGGGTGGCCAATCAGATTTACTCTGCGGCTGAGCGTGGCACGTGGACTTCTTTGGTGGGCAACAGGACCACAGCAGATTAGGAGGTGAAGGAGCAAGACTAACCGGAAGGCCGCTGAGGCCAACGGTGGAAAGCGGGAGGGAGTGATTGGGTCACGGCCAGGCACTTGAGCCTTCCAGGGACTTTCCTGCCTGCCGCCTGATCTCTGGGTCTCTCCTGGCCAAAGGTCCATATTGTGCGAGAGGTTATCTGCCCCGTTCAGCTTCAGCGGAACAATGCCCGCTCCTACTTGCCCTGGGCAGTACCAGCCCGCCCGCAACGGCGAACACCCTCAGCACTGCCCATAGATGCAGCACTGGGTCAACCACTGAGATTGGAACCAATTCCACTTGGCAGAAGAGGAAACTGAGGCTGAGTGGTCAGATTTTCCTGAAGCTGCGCGGCTGAAAAGAGCTAAATGAAGCTGCCAGGCAGAACAAGACCAACAGGACCCGCCTGGGTTCCTCAGGCCCTGGGGCACCGGAGTTTGTGCCTCTCCTGTATCCTGTGTGTATTTCCCCCCAAGATTTATTTATTCATACAAGAGGTGGAGCACAGGCCGAAGGTGCAGGCGGGGTGAGTGGGTTCACCAGGACAGAGTGGGGGACAGAACAGGCAGACTGACTGAAACACACTGCTGCGGGGAGCAGCAGGGTGGGGGTGGCGTGGGGGTCAGGAGAGGTCTGCCATGCCCTGTGGGGCACTCCATGGCTGGGGATGGAGCTGGTGTTGCAGTGGTTGCCAGTAGCGTCATGGTGCTGAGACTTAATCCCTTGCGCCACCAGGGAAGCCCCCTGAAAGCTTCCAGAAAGTTCCCTTTGTTCTGAGCTAGTAGTGTGAGGGGGTTAGTTGCCTCAAAAACAATTCTGCGGGCGCGTCTGGTACTGGTTTATAGGCCAGTTGTTAAAAGTTTGGGAATTCTATGGCCAAGTTCTGCATGTTGAATCATCTACAACTTGGTGTCTGATGTAGTAAAAATTGACTGGGTTTTGCAGGGGCTCCCATTTGCTTATAGGGAGATGTGTTTTATGTCCATACACCCCGATTCTGAGGCAATGGGTAGGCAGAGAAAGCCAGAGAGCAGGAGCTGGCTCGAGTAGTTCAGAGGGCGAGGAGGAGGCGCCGGGGCAGCCGGGCCCCTGAGTCCCACACACGCTGTGGCAGGCCACCAGCGTGCAACACGCAGGGAAAATGGCCTGGAATGGACCATAAGTTGCCGCTTCCTCCCTCCCTCTCTCTCAGAAGCGTAGCCAGGGTCAGTCAGAGTTTATTGCAGGGCACAGGGGAATACAGAAGGAAAGTTCCAGGCGTCTGGGTGGAGGTCCATCTCTCCTCCATCCGAGAGGCAGTGGCGACACTCAGGTCTCGGTCTCCATGGGCAGCCACAGGGCCTTGGTCCGAGCCGCCCGCAGCTCCAGCTCTGGGCCTGCCCCCTGGGCCTCCTGCTCCCAGGCCCGCAGGCCGCCCCCGTTCACCCACACGGGCTTCAGGTTCCCTGCAGAGGCCCACTCCACAAACTGGGAGCCCTGCACGGAGAGAGCTGCGATCAGCACCTCCACCTGCCTGGCCAGCAGGCAGCTGCTTCCTCGGCAGTGAGGGCCGTGCCTGACCCGGCCTGCCGGCTTGACCCGGCCTGCCGGCTTGGCCTGAGGCAGCCGCGCTCCGCTGCCAGCAAACAGTCCCAGAGGCTGAGGGCAATGAGCTGCGCCCTGGAACGGGCCACTTCTCCCGGTGAACAGCCTCTTTGAGCGGGATGAGCCCGCGGTGCTCCCATCTGCTCCCATGAGGAAGGGGGCTGAGGGCACAGGTGTGTCGCTAGGGGGCGGTCCTGGTCCTTAGCAACTGGCTGGCCAATGAGATTCGGCCTCGGGGCTGGGCAGGCCTTGGGGACCTCCTCCTCCCCCTTGGCAACCTGGGCCTGCAGGGGTGCAACCTCAGGACCTGGTTGCCCAGGAGTTTCTCAGGGTGCTAGCAGGGGAGGTTGGGGGCAAGCCGCGTTCTCAGGACAGGCGTTGAAGTGGAAGGTACCTGGGCAGATCCAAAATACCACAGGGCCTGGACGTCCTGGTGCAGGGCCAGGCAGCGCGTCAGGTGGTCCCGGTCTCCAGTTACTACGTTCACCAGGCCGGCAGGCAACAGAGCGGCCACATCCTGGGGAGGGAGCACTGGGAGTCAGGGCGGGAGGGCAGTGGTGGAAGGAAGGGGATGGGCAGAACCAAGGGTCCAGGAGAGTGGGGAGAATCCTGGTTGGATCTACAAAGCGAAAGCCTGGACGGGGCGGGGGTCCCCGGAGACCCTGGGGCCCCTTTCCTCCGTCCACTTGCCCGGGGGGCAGCTGGGAGCTGCAGCGGCTGGGCACAGAGGCGGGTGGCCCTTACCTGGCAGACCTCCAAGGCGGGAAAGGGGCAGACCCCGCTGGGCACCAAGACCACAGCGTTGCCGTGGGCCAGGGCAGGGGCCAGCAGGGACACGCAGGCCAGCAGGGGGCTCTGGTCTGGGCACACGATAGCCAGCACGCCCAGCGGCTCCCGCAGCCGGAGCACTGGGCCCCTCAGCTCCGCCACCTGCAGGGACAGGAGAAGGGGGGTGAAGGGCAAGACAGGAGCCTGACGCCCCCACAGCCCTTCTCTGTCACACAGCAGCAGCAACACAGCCACGCTCACAGCTGTGTGGCCTCCGCCGAGCTACTTACCCTCTCTGGGCCTGTTTCCCATTATTAAAAGAATAATGGTGCCCACCTCAGAGATTTATTGTTAGGGTGAAATGTGCTCACTGCGAGCAGAGTGCTCAGAATCTGGTAAAAAGAGTCTTATTGAGCACGGCTGGTGTTAGCACACCGCACGTGCAAGGGCGTCACCTGGCGGGGCTGATACAGGGACAGTCCTGAAATCAGTCACCACACTCCAGAGGACGGTTCGGTGGTAACATTCATGTGGAGAGGTGGGACAGACGCCCTGAATCACGCAGCGCTGGAAACCATGTTTACCTCAAGGAGAAAACAAGAATGAAGTTCACCCCCAAAGTTTCCTGCTGCCCCTGGTGATCCTTCTCCATTGTCCCCACTTGAGCCTGTCTTTCGGCAACCACCGGCCTGCTTTCTGGCTACCGTCTGTATTTTCTAGAATGTTCTAAATGGTTGGTCGTCTTCATCTGGCTTCTTCCGCTCAGTCTAGCCACCGGGAGAGCAGGACCCCCTGCATGGGGCCCTCTGGGTTGCTTCCAGCTTGGGCACCCTGCAAAATGCTGTGAACTCGGAGAGCCAGGTACGGCGACCGAGTAGCCACGCGCGGCTTGGCCGCGAGCTGCCTGACACCAGGCGTGTCACCGTCACGCACACGGGGCGCTCCAGCCTCCTGCGGGCCGCTGCTCGGCGTGAGGGTGCGATGCTGGTGCATCGTTTCAGGTCTGAGGCTGAAAGCCTGACATGACTCTGACTCCGCCCAGTCCCTAGGGATCCTGGTCGCTCAACGTCTAAGTTTGGAAGAAACCGCCTGTTTCCCAAAGTGGTGGTCCTGCGGGCACCCCGCCAGCGGGCCGAGTCCCGGTCCTCTGTGTCCTCGCCGGCGCTCGCTGTGCCGCTGGCGATGCTGACAGGACCCTGCGGCCAGCTCACGGTGGCGT